AGCTAATTGACATCACTGCTGCATGCTGAGTAGGGAAAAGCCAGGGGGTAATCAGATCCCACTTGAGGTCCATTTCAGCAACTTACTAGCCCTGCTGCTTTTGGAAATGCAGTTGACATCCTGGAGCATCAAAATCCTTACAGAATTGTGAAGATAGTAAAGCATTTAGCTCAATGTCTGATACACTAAAGGACTCAATATGGCGGCTGTCATGGTATTCTTTAAAAGGCGCCAAGTCTAAAACCAACTTACTTTCCCTGTAACAGAAGGCCTTTTATATCTTTTCCATGGAATTAGAGTTAATGAGACTTATTCTACTCCAAAGGAAGACTCCTAACTGCCATACACCAGGTATCTTTATTTTTATAATCCTATGAGCAAAAATTTGGCTTAAAATCCTGTGAAATAAAACTGGAAATTTTAGAGACCTACCCGGGTGCAAACTGAATTAATTCATTCAATGAGTGCTTAACAAAAACTACTGCATTTTCTCACAGTTTATAGTAGGAAAAAAGAAAAAACCAATATGTGTATTTAAATATGGTTTAGTAAGTGTTTTAAAAGAGTAGCTGAGTGGTAGACAACTACCCAAGGGCAACCAGTTAATATAGATTTGGGTCCTGGGCACTTCTCCATTGCTCAACAAATTGGGAACACATTTACTTCTTGAAGTAATCTAAATTAAGACACTCACTCTGGTCTAGACCATATGCTTAAGTTAGTAACCAGATTTTGTTAAATTTTTAAGACATGCATTGATCTTAAAATAGTCTCACCCAAAGATATATGATTAATCTGACTGGAGTTTAACAAGTCACCTTTAAAAAAATTAAACTGGCAACTTAGAACAAAACGTTTACATTGACAAGATATCTCAAATCTTTACTTTTCTATTTTTTTAGCATAGTTCTTCCTATTGTCTTTGAAACAGCTGTTTATATTCTCCTTCCACCAGGAGAAATAAAATGATTTTCCTGTAATCTTCATTTAAATAATTAATCCTATAGTTTATAGGTGCTATTTATAACATTGAGCTACTCTAAAATTCTTTCAAACACACATAGGTTATGAATTAAATGCACAGTAATATCATTTGTTGGAAAAATTAGTATGTAACTGTAGCCTTGATTTTATCCTGAGAGATATTTGTGAAGAAGGCAACAGATAAAGTACTTCCAAAGAAAAAGCGTATTATTTCATGGAAAAATAGCAATCACCGTGAGACAATAAATATTCATATTATTTGATTACAAGGAAACATTCCTTTATCTTTCCTATCCTTAAAACAATTGCACAATAAAAATAATAATCCATGCATTTAGAATGTAAATGTGTTTCCTTAAGTTTCACTATTTACCTATTGCTATAGGACTTAGATGATGAGAAAAATAAGTCAATAAGAGAGAGATGTTTAACATTCTCTGAAAAGGATAGCAGTACCCCCATCGAGAATAAAAAATAATGTCCATATAAAAATTATTTCCTCTACAGAGCTTGGTATATTGTTGAACATATTGTAATAAGGACAGTCATGAATGCAAGTTCATCTAATTATTTTGTTCCTGCTTTATAATCACTTGTATTACATCCTCATCTCAGTCTTGGAGAAGATGATTATTGGCAGGAGATTAAGTCAAAGACCTCAATGCCAACACATTAAAACATGAAGCCTGACATTCATCTTTTCCTGTAAAGCCTTAGTTAAGGCTTAAGCTAAAAATGCTTCCCTCCTAAACATTCATGGAGGGGAAATGATAGGAAATGGAATAAGCTATAAATTTAAGGTTGATGTGGACAATAAATTATAGAACAGAAGTACCAGATACTTTATATCCCTTGTCAACAAAATGTACTCTTTTGACAATTATGTGCTTCATCAAGGGGTGATTAAAGCTGAAATCAGTTGGGGGATTCAATAAGAGCTTAATGTCTCATCAGAAGGGATGCCTGTATTTCAATTTGGAGAAAAGTTTGCTTTAAAAAATAGTATTATCTTTTTAAGTGATTCTGGTTCCTCATTAATTATACTATACACTATAAAAGAAAATATGGTATAAAAAATCTGACTGGGGGAGAATTGCTGAACTATCTTAAGATGAAGTAAATGGGTTCATTGCATCTTCAAGGCGGTCCCCAGCATGGACCCTAACAGTACTGTAATGACACTGTGGCATCACCCTTCTTCATTGTAGTGTTCCACATGATATTAAAGTTTCTGGGATTCAACATATTCCAAACTACGAATTCTCCCCCAAATAGATAAGCTTCTTATTATAATAGTCCTAATTTACCCACTCGATTCAGAAATAAGTCCCTTTGATTTTGATGGCATAGGATGAGTTCTATTGTATAAACCAGATTTATTTTTTTTAAACTACAACCATGAATGAAACAACACAGTATCATTCAAGAAATATGACTGTTTCAATAGAAATAAACTCTCATAAAATCTTGGGATAATGTTTTTGTGATTTAAAAATTCTTAAAAGTAAAGTTTCTCATTGAATATTTCATAACATAAGAAAGCCAGCAAAAAAAAAAAAAAAAAAAAAAAACATGGAATTATAAAAGGCTCTAGAGAAAAACAAGCATCATGTTATATCCTGTGACCCTGAAGCAATTCAAGTATCTGTGGTCCAAAAACAATATCTTAGCCAAGAGAGTTATCCACACTAGATAAATATATTGTGTGCTCAGTCAGGCTAATCCCTAGTGAATAAATGCATTAAGTATTTTAAATTAGATATCATGATATTTACAGATGTTGTTGTACTAAAAATAAAAATGATAATTTTACTGAAGAGTATGTTTTATTTGAAATTAAAAACACAAACCCTCTCCTTTATGAACTTGCGTTAGGTTCAGTGAAAACCAATACCACCAAAGACATTTATGAAATGTGTTTTGATGAAATTCAAAATTAAGCTAGTCATTCTTCACTTTTAATGAATGGCTAATAAAGTATAATCTTTAAAATCCATTGAACTGAAAAAGACAGAGATTCTGAAACCAGGAAGTCTTCACTGCTGGTGAGGGAAGAGCTTCTCTCACTTCTGCGAAGGCAGGCCCTTGGGAGCAGATTTTGGAAACGTCCATCTAAATGGGCAGAGGGTCTATGATGAGGGAACACTTCTACTACGACTCCACATAATAACTCTAGATATAGGATAAGGGGCATCTGGTGACACGGTGATGGTGTCACTTCCTCAAGCCTCCAGAAATCTCCTGATATTGGAAATCTCCCTTTTTGTGGGAGTTGGGGCAGGGGGACCATGCAGCATGCAGGATATTAGTTCCCCAACCCAAGAACTGAACCTATGTCCCCTGCAGTGGAAGCTCAGAGTCTTAACCACTAGACCACCAGGGAATTCCCCTATGTTATCCCTTAATAAACCATAAAAGGTCAAAATTCAGAAAAGAAGCTAGAGGGAAAAGCTACCCATCTCCCTGCAACCAAGTAACTCCCACCCCAGTTTAAAGGATTCAGATATACAGAGCATACTCTGGGCCACAATTGGATAATAGTTTGTTATCAGAGATACACAATGTAAGAGATACTGTCATCTAAAGTTCACTTATACACCTCTTAGCATTCCCCACTAACAATTCCTACTTTTTAGACAAAGGAATATACAGAATATGAGAATATACAGTTTTACTCTCCAGATCATGCTAAAATATATATTTTAGCATGTAGATTCACAAACAGTGGTCAAAATATCACCTGGTTGCAAACACTAACATTTGACAAATAATAATATTTGAAAAGTCTAATTGCACACACACAAAAAATTGGGCTTCATGCAGTCAAAGATATATTGCCTAAATAAATAGCATAAAAATAACATAGGGACTATATCATGTTATAAACTTGGTAATTGATTTCATTCATTTCTTCCATTGGGACTTCATTAGAACCTTTGTAATGGACTTGTGAAACAAGAGGCTTTAATTTAATTTACCCACTGAAGCAGAATCCTGTAATTTTACAGTTAATGACTCTTAATAGCAAATCAAAAATGCCCTGGAGCCATGTGAAAGCAGCTGGGTCACTGGAAAGGATTTCCACCTTCTATCTCATTCATGGAGGTCAGATCAGTGAGATGGATAAAGATGTTCAGACCGTGATCGGATTTAAGAGGTTAAGTGAGGTGCTTGGCTAATGTATTTCCACCCTGTGGAAGCCACATAGTGTGTTAAAGTGAAAGTGTTAGTCGCTCAGTCGTGTCCAATTCTCTTTGGCCCCATGGACTGTAGCCCACTAGGCTACTCTGCCCATGGAATTCTCCAAGCAAGAATACTGGAGTGAGTTGCCATGCCCTCCTCCAGGGCATCTATCCCAATCCAGGGACTGAAACTACATTTCCTGTGTGTCCTGCATTTCAGGCAGATTTTTACCATCTGAGCCACCTATGAATCGCCCAGTTTGAGAGGCAGCCAGTTGCCCAGAGGTAACCCCATTTTACCTCCACTCTGCTGACTGACCACTGTGAACAGAAGTGGTCACCCTTAAATAAATTTTTTTAAGATTTTCTATGTGGACTTTATTTTTAAAGTCTTTATTGAATCTGTATAATCCTGCTTCTGGTTTATGCCTTGGTTTTTTGCCTGCGAGGTATGTGGGATCTCAGCTCCCAACCAGGGATTGAATCCACACTTCCTGCATTGGAAAGCGAAGTCTTAATTATCACAGGACCACCATCCTGGAAGCACTTAAACATTAACAATTATTTAAAATTCCAAAGGACAGGGATATACTCAGAGATACACGATGTAATCAAGTTTCCCAGAGCTGCCTGACAGCTCCTACCCAGACTCTACTGATAAATTAATGATGTCTCCAATTCTGTTCACCAACATGCTTTCACCATGTCATCCTAAACTAAAAGCAGCATTTTATTTTGGTAAATGCAAAACTTGAAAACAGAAATTTTCTAAAAAACATGAACAATCTTAGAAAACATCACCAAAATGTACTCTGCTTTTGAACCAACACTGACCTTCTGTTCCAAAAGCAATGTGTTTGTTGGGATTGCTGCAAAAGCCTTGTAGCTGGACCTGGTCTTGTATTGCTAGAATGGGGGGTAACCAGAAAGTAAGAATGGGGTTGAAAAGGGGAAAGAATGTGACATAACTTTAGACCAGTTCTACCAAGTTAAACGACACATTATCAAATGAAGGAAACAATGATTATGCTTCAACAACTTGCTTTTGACAGAAAAAATTAGCTCTTCATGTTAATGTTTTATTAGAATGAGAAGCAAAGAAATACCACAGTAAAATATCCAGCCTAGGGATTATAGGCAAGTATATGCTATATCATTTCAGAGTTTAAAAACATTCTTTTTTACACAGTTATATGTAAATTTCTCATTGGCAGTATGCCCTTACAGGAATAATATTGTATAAATATTTGGGGTATTTTTGCTTGATTCTCAAAGGAATGTGGATCTCTTTTTATGGTGCTATAATTAACAAATATTATTGCAATAAGTTTAGTTGAACTCAATACATTCTCTTGCATCCTTTATAAAAAAAGTGATCAGAACACATAAAATTCAGCAATGATTTTTAAAAAAATAGTATTTTGAATAGATATGATAGCAATTTAACTCCATAACGGGAAAACTAGAAGGCCATGCTCTTGGTCTTAAATTCATTTTTTAAACTTCATCACCCTCTCCTGCACTTTCCAATACAGTGATATTAAAGAATCAAAAGAAAATATTTCAACTTTTAAGTAAAAGTTGGTGTAATCTAATTCAGTTTTGTAGAGTATTTGGGGTCGAGCATGAGGAAACTGTAGAAATCAGGATCACAGACATAATCAAAATCCCAGTGTTGACATTGCTCTGGGTGCCAAGTTCAAGGCTCCTCTCACTTCAAAAGTTCCTATCTCAGGCAGCTTCCCCACCGGCCCCAAAGCTGTAGGAAACTGGCACACAGCGCCAGGCTGTCTTCATCCCCTGCAAGCAAACCAAAGGATCTACAGAAGAAGACAGAGTAATCAAGTAAAATTAAAAAATGCCAGGGCCGGAAGAAGCAACGCTTCAACCCCTTCAAGCCCCGAGTCTCTCTGTTGACCTGGTACAGTAAGCCCCCTACATACGAACAAGTTCCGTTCCAAGAGTGCATTGGTAAGCTCAATTTGTTTGTAAGCCCAACAAAGTTAGCCTAGATACTCAACTAACACATTTGGCTATATAGTACTGTACTATAATAGGCTTGTAATGCTTTTCATACAAATAAAATGTACATAAAAAACAAACACAAAAAGTGAAACATTTTCAAATTTACAGTACAGTACCTTGAACGGTTCAGTAGTACAGTACAAAAGCTGGGGTATACGGGCTGGCATGAACGCTCACATCTTTGAAAGGTTGAAACCTGAAGGTTCATATGTAGGGGACTTACTGCACGGCTACAGTCTCCAGAAAATAACGTATTTAGATTAAGGATTGAAGCAAAATGCCATCTAAGCATGGAGAATAAGAGCTGGCATCTATAACTAGGCAAACAACATGCATTGCCTCATTTAATTTTGCAGAATCCCTATAACTAAACAGTCATTAAGCAAAGGCTATGTGGTGAGTTCAGATGACTCATCTAAGACCACAGCCCATATAAAATCTAAAAGATTTGGAATTCAGGTCCACCAGGCCCATATTTCTCAACAAGATATCTTCTCCCAAGGAATATCTAAACAGATAAATAATGCAGAAAAAATGTTATTAATACTCCACAGTGGTTTTGTGGATATTTAATTGCAACAATAGTTGCAATAATAATAATAACTAACAATCACTACAAGCCAGGTACTCTCTAAAAGCTTACTGTGTATTATCTCCCTGAGCTATCAAAACAAACCTATGACATAGATATTATATTACATTCACTTTATATATGGAAACTAAAAGGCTTCCCTAATAGCTCAGTTGGTAAAGAATCTGACTGCAATGCAGGAGATTCCGGTTCTATTCCTGGGTCATCAAAATCCTCTGGAGAAGGGATAGGCTACCTACCCCAGTATTCTGGCCTGGAGAATTGTATGGACTGTATAGTCCATGGGGTCGCAAAGAGTCAGACATGACTGAGAGACTTTCACTTTCACTTCAAAGCAGAGAGACACTAAGAAAGAATGTATCTAAGGTCATTAGCTACTAAATCATCGCTGGGATTTGGACATGGGCACTCCAGGTCAACAGCCATGATTCATCTACCATTGGACCTCACCTCATCTTTCAGGGTGCATAATCATTTATAACCTTTACTCTCTCCTATCCTCAGCTGCTCCAAAGAGTATAGCTGAAAAGCTTGGTCAGAGCAATATCTTGCTATTATACATGTAATGCCATATAATCTTAGAATCAGAAGTGAAATTGAAGGTACTTTGGTTCAACCCCCCCAGACAAGGCAGGAATCTCTCTGATCCCTTGTTCAGCCATACCTCCCAAGGTAGCATGTTTAGTTCTGTTAGAATTAGTACAAAATTCTCCTTTATACTGAGATGAAATATGCTTCTGCTAACTTACTCCTAGAGGACATTGGTCCTCTTTTTCCCTGTTTGACTAAGAACTCTCTTCTGTGTGATGGTTATGCAGCTGTTTCTATCAACCCCTTCCTTACTGATCCTCAACTGAAGAACTCCACTATCATTTCCTCCTGTCAATATTCCTTTAACATTTTTTAAGTTTAATTTTGATTTTATATTAGAGTATATTTGATTTACAGTGTTGTATTTTAAAAATGATACAAATGACCTTATTAAAAAACAGATGCAGACTGATAGAACTTGAAAACAAATTTATGTTTACCAAAGGAGAAAGGTGCAGGGAAGGATAAATAAGGAGTGTGGGATTAACATATACACACTACTATATGTAAAATTTTAAAAGATATGTTTAACTAGATATATTTTTAACACAAGGTAGAATATCATCATCATTTACATGATATTGACAATAAATTTGATTAATACAGTGAAGATAATAATCATAGGAATGGTCTCCTTAGTTTCTGTGGTATGTTTAGAATACAGAAGTGAGTGAAATTGGAGTCATTTTACATTATTGGAGCACCGTGACTATGCTATAGCCTAAAATTCCTAATTTTTTCATCTCTTTTTTTTAATCAATTTATTTTAATTGGTGGCTAACTACTTTACAGTATTGTGGTGGTTTTGCCATACATCAACATGAGTCAGCCAGCCACGAGTGTACAGGTGTCCCCTCATCCAGAACCCACCCCCCAAGTCACTCCCACCCCCATGGAGAACAGTGTGGAGATTCCTTAAAAAACCGGAAATAGAACTGCCATACGACCCAGCAATTCTACTGCTGGGCACACACACAGAGGAAACCAAAATTGAAAGAGACACATGTACCCCAGTGTTCATTGCAGCACTGTTTACAATAGCCAGGACATGGAAGGAACCTAGATGTCCATTGGCACATGAATGGATAGGAAATTGTGGTACATAGACACAATAGAATATTACTCTTTCATCTCTTTTTAACATTTGATTTATATTTGGTTGTCATTGTAAACTGCAAAGATAATTTTATGTTATTTCATGAACCATTTTTATCTTCATTCAAGTCACAAATTAAGGATAGAAAGCTCTTACCTACTGGATTCTGCCAACCTGGTGGGCATCGATCCATCTTGTAAATTTACTTGGATACAGCAGTCAAACTAATGGAGTCATTCAACAAATTATTATTGAGTATCTACTTTGTCACGTGCATTGTTCTAAATATTAGAGATTCAGCAGTAAACAGAACTCACAAGACTTTACTCTCTAGAGTTAATATCACATTGTACTGAAACAAACAAACAATAAAGAAGTAATAAAGAAAAGTCCTAGAAAGATAAATAATATTCAGAAAATTAAAGTAAGATGATGAGATAGAGAATGATCTCAAGGATGCTTTGGATTAAGTATTCAGGACAAGTGGGAATTCACAGGAATACATCACTAGATCTCTAATAGGTCTAGTAGAAGATAGGAAAAAAGGAAGGTATCTTTCCTTGTTCATGATATCATGAGAGACATCACAAAAGCTGGAACCTGGAAGGCATCCAACAAATGTCTATTGCTTTAAGAAAATCTCTGACTTCCAGTTATAGTTGTTTTTGCAAACATTCACAAACTAAGAAGTTGCCATAATTTTCAGAATTTACCTTGGAATTTTGTGTTAAAAAAAAACTGCTTTCTTCTTTTTTCTGGTAAATCTCTTCTTTTCCATAATTTATAATAGTTTTGCAATAGAAGTAGAAATTTCATCTTTCTTTTTTTGCGATACAATTTTTCTAGACCATGAGATTGAACTTCTTTACAGCAACCAGATGTCCTTTCTCGTACTTCCTGTATCTGGAGCCTCGTGCATCTCTAAGATACATGTTCCCGTCATGGATGAAGGCAAAGTGAGCACGGTCAAATAAGAAAGATCAAGACTGAATATTAACATATTAGAATCTAGGCGCTCCAGAAAAACATCTGCTTCTGCTTCAGTGACTATGCTAAAGCCTGTGACTCTGTGGATCACAGCAAACTGGGGAAAAGTCTTCAAGAAATGGGAATACCAGACCACCTGACCTGTCTCCTGAGAAATCTGTATGCGGGTCAAGAAGAAACAGTTAGAACCGACATGGAACAATGGACTGTTTCAAATTGGGAAAGCAGTACATCAAGGCTGTATATTGTCACCCTGTTTATTTAACTTATATGCAGAGTACATCAAGCCAAATGCTGGACTGAATGGCTCACAAGCTGAAGTCAAGATCGCCTGGAGAAATACCCATAACCTCAGACATGCAGATGACACCACCCTTATGGCAGAAATGCAAAAGAGCAAAATGGTTGTCTGAGGAGGACTTACAAATAGCTCAGAAAAACAGAAGCTAGAGACAAAGGAGAAAAGGAAAGATATACCCATTTGAATGCAGACTTCCAAAGAATAGCAAGGAGAGACAAGAAAGGCTTCCTCAGCAATCAATGCAAAGAAATAGAGGGAAACAATAGAATGGTAAAAACTAGAGATTTCTTCAAGAAAATTAGAAGTACCAAGGG